AAATGAGTCTGTTCAGATTAAACAGACATCTCTTACAACTCCTCACACATTACTAATATATGTTTTTAGATTTTAATTTTAACTAGAAATGTCTATAAAGCTGTCACAGTAAAGGAAATAAGCAGTGAAGTTGTCCTACTGAAGAGCAAAATAATTCACAGAACTCAATCTTCCTAAAAGTGTGCCTCAATATCAAGACATATCTAATCTCTTAGGGTTTTAATGTAGAAAACTCTGAAAGATAAGACAAAAATTGCAGTTTTGCTTAAAAAAATTATTAGGGTTTGGGGCGCCTGGGTGGCTCAGTCGTTAAGCGTCTGCCTTCGGCTCAGGTCATGATCCCAGGGTCCTGGGATCGAGCCCCGCATCGGGCTCCCTGCTCCGCGGGAAGCCTGCTTCTCCCTCTCCCACTCCCCCTGCTTGTGTTCCCTCTCTCGCTGTGTCTCTGTCAAATAATAAATAAAATCTTAAAAAAAAAATTATCAGGGTTTAATGTAAGTTCCTACTGATTCTTCTTCACTAAACACAATTCAGAAGATAATTTTAAGAGGGTTTGGATCCAGGAGAAAAAAAAATCTTAAGACAAAAACCTGCATACAAGTGTTGATAGCGGCTCTATTCATAACTGCAAAACCTAGAGGCAACCAAGGTGGCCTTCAACAGGTAAACAGATGAACAAACTGTGGTACCTCCATACGAGGGAATATTACTCAGTGATTAAAAAGAAAAGAGCTGTCAAGCCACAAAAGACATAGAAGAAGGAAGCTTAAAAGCATATTGCTAAATGAAAGAAGCCAGTCTGGAAAGGGTACATACTGTATGATTCCAACTATATAACATTATAACATTCTGGAAAAGGCAAAACTATAGAAACAATAAAAAGGTCAGTGGTTGTCAGGGGCTGCGGGGGCAGGGGAGAGGAGATGAGCAGGTGGAGCAGAGGGGAGGTTTAGGGCATGAACCGATTCTTTGTGATACTGTAAGGGGAGATACACGACATTATGCATTTGTCAAAACCCGAAACACTACAAGACAAAGAATGAACTCTAATGTAAACCACAGACTTTAGTTAATAACATAAGAATATTGGTTCATAGGGGCACCTGGGTGGCTCAGTCGTTAAGCGTCTGCCTTCAGCTCAGGTCATGGTCCCAGGGTCCTGGGATTGAACCCCACATTGGGCTCCCTGCTCAGCGGGAAGCCTGCTTCTCCCTCTCCCACTCCCCCTGCTTGTGTCCCCTCTCTCGCTGTGTCTCTCTCTATCAAATAAATAAATAAAATCTTTAAAAAAAAGTATTGGTTCATAACTGTGACAAAGGTACCACACCAACGCAAATGTTACTAATAAGGGCAACTGTGAGGGTGGTCGTGGTGGAGGGAGGATACATTCAAGAACTCTGTGCTTCATGCTCAACTTTTCCGTTAACCTAAAACTGTTCTAACAAGTCAAGTCTATTAGAAAAATTGTAAGGTTAAAGAGGGAAAAGGCTGGTTTAACCTGAACAGAGACAGAAGTGATTCCATATTGTAGAATGATGTGAATTCCTGTCACCTCACACAGCTTAGCTTATGATGGCCTATTTTTGATTGAAATAATATATGTCTAATTAAACACCAGGACATCAGTGTAGAATTATCTTTACTTCAGAACAGGAGGGGAACTTAGAGATGAATAAATAATAGGTTTAGATAAACTTAGAAATTAACCGATTGTGACAACCAAACACTCCAAATGTTTCTGAAGAGGGGAAATTGTGTTTGGTTTGTGCTGGGGCAAAGTACATGTGTTTAAGTATTATGGAAAAAAATATAGTTGCTTAGGATGCAATAAAAACACTCCTGAAATTTTTATTTAGGTTAACAGATTGGAATGTACTCCAAATTACTTCCTATGTCTGTACCTAAATGGTTTAATTTGGCTAATTTTACAGAGTCTTTGAGGGTTCTTAAAGCTCTTTATCAATATAAATGATCCACATTTTCAGCTGTTTTAAAACTCAGGACAATAAATGTTCTACTGGCTCATCAGAAGGGTGGTAGAGCCTAGGGTTTGGAGTCTAGTGGTAAAGGTAAATCACCCCGGTTCAAACCCTGGGTGTACCACTTGCTGGCCGGGTAACCTTGGGTAAGTTACTTAACTTTCGTTGGCCCTGGTTCCCTCATATGAAAAGTGGGGACAACAGCAATATGTACCTCATGATTAAGTGAATAAATGCACATAATCACGTGTGCAAGGCTTGCTATATGGCTCTCAAGTGTTAACTGTTATTGGTACTAATAAACTGACTTTAGGAGACCCTGCCTGCAGGTCATTTTGGGAATCATCTAGGATGCTCCTCCAGGCTACCGGCCACATGAAGACCCCTCTACAGTGATACTTCTCTAGGGGAACTAAAATGTTAACATGTTAGACTCCTCCACTGAACTGTGAAGTCAGTGAGAGCAGGAGCCAAATCTTAGGCATCTTTGTTAACAAAGTACACTAAGGAAATATTTCTCAGAATAAAGAACCATACTGATTTACTTCTTACTGGGCAAGAAATTTTAATTTCAATTAAAACGCATACCATTGGATTGAAAAAGTCTTTTTTCCCCCACCGAAAGAGTAAACCAGGTCAAGCTTTAATCTACAGTACTTTGGCCTAATGATATTACTATATATCAACTTTTAAGATCATCTATGTCCTAAAGTATTTCCCCTGGGTGGACTTGATGATTCTGGGACTTTGGCCTTCAAGGCCACCATATTGAAAACAGAGAAGATAGCAACTTGAGGTTCAAACTGAAAGTTAACTGCAAGTTGAGAGCCACACCATTTTCAGCTGGTGAGAGTTCTAATTCACAACACAATGGTCCCAGATAACAGCAAGCCTGCACTTCTAGTTAGGAAAGGCTCTAATGAGTGCAGTGGGTGCAACTTTAGCTACTGTACCAAAGACTGATACTTATTTAATCAGGATGGGAAATAAGAGTTGGTGATATCCTAAGAAGCAATAAAGTTCCTATTTTCATGTAAACGAACCCAAGTAAACACCAAGGGCAGCAAACCAGAAAAACACCCCAAAGAACAGAATGGCTTCTAAACAGACGACCTTTTCTATTTCATTTTCAGCAACAGATAAGTATTTAACTAAATTATTCTCCACCGACACTATTAAAAGGGCTTTCCTGTTGTTATCAGAATGGAATTTCAGATCCACTTAATTTCAAGAAATTGACTGAAATTCAAATCACAAATCTGGTTTTAAATGGTGTTCTGTACTCTATGCACTATTTATGCTGATTACAGCATTGAAGTAGCTGGACCCAGATAACAGAGTTAATAGTATTAAATCAGAGATGCCAAATTAATTTCTTAGACGTGTTCATAAATAGCTCTAAAATTATTATGAGGCTTGACGATTGAAAAATGTTCCCATTTTCTTATTGTTCTTTGGTGACATAATTAAGATCAGATATACATTTAGAATACAAGATTCCCAGAATTATAAAACCATGAACGAGGACCCCTAAGGGGCATCTAGTCCAATGTCCTCATTTTCTAAGTGAGAAAATGAGGCCCGGAAGAAGCAGGGGAGTGTAGTAGTTAAACGCTTTGGCTCTGGAGTCAGACAGACCTGCGTTCCAGTTCCAGATTGGCAAGTTCTTCACTATGTGACCTTGGGAAAGTTATTTAACCTCTCCAAGCCTCAGTCTCTTCAAGTGTAGAACGGAGATAAGGACTGCCCTAAACTCCAGGTTTGTGGTAGGATTAAATGAGATAAACATGCAAAGCATTCAGCTCAGCACAGAAGAAGACTGGTATATTTCACTCAGTAAATATTAGCAGTTATTATCATGATGACTAAGAGTGACTTCCAAGGCAATGTAAGCAGCAACAAAACCAGAACACAGAGTTCTTGACACATATCACAGCTTTTTTCATCTAAATACAGTAGCTGGGGAAAAAAGATTCATTGGCACTGACAATATAACTCTACATCAAATAGAAGGATAACTAATTTCAGTCTTCCTGCTATTGAACCGATCCAAATATTAAATCAGCGATCACATTTGGAGGTCTGAATTTCATGAAGATTCACACATATTTGGCTTTCCATGAGCAATCGATATTACATATTTGCCTTCATAACTCTTTTAGTTTAATTTTTAAATATTTCCCACCCGACACTGCTCATGTAAAATAAAACAACATATAATGGCCACAAATAAGAGTTAGGGTTCACTTGCTAACAATCTTAAATTTGACTCTGGTTAGTTGCTATATGGAATGAGTCTACCATTCTTAATCTGTACTGTCAGGTATGGCCACAGCCTCTATACATCTGTTATAGAGGAAGCAAGGATAAGGGACACATTAAAAAAAAAAAAACCAACTACAGTGGATGTGCAGTATGAGTAAGATTCGGTTTGGCTAATAGAGACTCCTAGGAATCCAGCGGCCAATGATCACAGACATTTACAACTGCCATTTTTGTCAACCTTTACTGCCCTTACATGATTTACTCAGAGTTGAGTGTTTTTTTCTTATACTAAAAAAATCCCACAATTGAGAAGTCTCATAAGGAATATTAGCTTTATATAACAAGCTCTCAATACTTGAGCATTTGATAATTTTTTAGTTAATTGATGGTCTTTACAGTAAATATTCTCAGACCAGTAGGTAGGTGCTTTAAACCGTTTTCTTGCAATAAACTAAAGACCATTTTTCTCTTAATCTGGAGAATGACCAATGTACATACAATTAACTTGAAATCTTTAAAGAGTAAATGCAACGTGGCATAGATACATCCATACGTCCAACAGACATCAACTCACACTACAGTGAGAAAGCTCAAGTATAAACACGAACAAAGCCCAAGCACCTTTTTTATGTAAAGGCAATGTGATTCAGCAGACCAGCAGATGAAGAAAATAGTCATTGGAAAAGTGGCAATTTGTAACCATACCCGGTATTTAGTATTTCAGCAACTAGAAATAAAAATGTTTGGCAAACTTACCCGCATTTTTGCACAGGCATCTTGGGTTGATTCTGTCCCTCTGAGCTCTTTTATCAGCATGGAACCTAAATACTAAAATATAAAACAATTCAATGATTTATGAAAAAAAGGATATAAATATGAGTTGCAATTTAAAACCAAACTGTGGAAGTCCTACTGGCTTGGTTTCCTGGCTGAAAGTTGTTGAATAACTTTTAAAAACTAACAGTAACTAATCCTAACAAATAAATGCTTTTAGAGAGAGAATGCTGTAGAATTAACTACAGTTGAGAGCTGTAAATTGCTCTTTATAATAAAACTGCAGCATTTTCTAAAGATGCCATCTTTCAAATCATATTTAACTGCAAAATGGGGGCATCTAAAAATGTTTTCCCTTTTTTTTTTTTTGAGGCAGCAATGTCTGCAAAAATAAATCACGCTACTCTCTACGTAATTACAGGGTTGTATGAGACAGCTGAGAAGCTAAGCGACATGCACCCCATTTGGGCTGAGTTGGCCGCATAGGTAATTAACATTAGGCCGCTCTCAGGCGGAGATGCAGTTTGGGGTCTTTTCATTCACAGCTGCGCGCCCAGTGGCTGATCCACCTGAGAATGGGATGCGAACGAGATGGAAGCCTGCGGGGAGAGGGAATGGCATCTCGGTGGTTCCAGAAGGGAGAGAGCCCATTTCCTGGTGCAAACCGACACTGGGTGGGGGGGCGCTGAATGGGGTAGGAGAAAGATGAGAATGTCTCCCCCCAGGAATTACCAGTCTTTTTGCTGTTAGGTGATCTAATTCAGCACTGTCTTGGTACAAAACGCCACTCACTCTCCAAGTTCTGACTGGGAAGTGGGGGGGGGGCAAAGAGTTTGTAGCAAAATGTCTGTTTTGCCTTTCCATCAATTGATTCCTCTTCAATTTTTTGAAGCTTCAATAGGATTTCTTTCTTTTGTCATTTTTTCCCTCCCTAATCTTCCAGGAAAAAAAAAGAGAGCGAAAGAGCTCTGTGTCTTTAAAAAAAAAAAAAAAAGAGCTCTATGTGTCTTAAAACACACACACACACACAAAATAATTATTTTCCTGACATGGCCCGCTGCAAAAACAGCGCTGGGGGGCTGGGAATCAGGCGTGCAGACCAGGAGTGCCCACGCGAAGACGGGCGTGCCCAGAAGGGAGCAGAGGGTGTGGTTAAGGGCCCGAGGCAACGTGCGTTCCGAAAGTCTCAGGGGTTTGTGTGGCGTTTGAGCTTTGCAGGAAGGAGGCGTTTCAGTTCCACAGTTTGGGGGAGATTACTGCTGAAATAAATCCAATGCTCCACTATAAGTAGGCAGCAAAAGAGGGATAGATAACAAAATGAAAAAAGGGCCGAAATTGCTATGCGACAACCAGAATGCGCACGTCTTAATCAAATTAAGGAAAATGATCTCAGAGAAATCCTTGCCTTTTCAGTTATTGGGGAAGTTTGTCCTAACTGAAACATTTCTTTTTAAAAGAGGTGATTTTACTTTTCCTGCTGTAGTCATGACAACCACCTGTCCCCAAACCTATGGTATTTTTTCAACATTCACCTGTTCATATTTCTTGCGATTCTCAGCTAAGCCTGATTCTCTTTCCTATTAGAAAAAAGTACCCAGTAATATAATCGTAATGAAAAAAATCTGGTAGTAGACCCAGTGTTTTGAGATCATTGGTGAGTGAGTGTTGATGTCTGTGTTATATTTATATTCATTTCCATTTTAAGATTGTGCTTTATCACATTTCATTTAAAACATACAACTGTCTAAGAAGGCAAAATAGACCTTAAATTCACAAGATTAAAAGGGATTATTAAGCTCTATTTACTTGGACTTTCTCTGTATAGAAAAGGCTACTTTAAGAAAAAGAGAAGGGAACACTTTAAGCGAGGACATTTTGGTCTATTTTCAATATAAAAGTAAACAAACCAGAAGTACACCCTCCATTCCCACTGGTACCCATACTGAATTAATGGTAACTTACAAAAGCTTTGTAATCACACGATTGGAAGATGAGCTTTTCTGGGTGGTGTTGCCAGTATTGTACTGGAGTTGAGGCTGTGGCTTCATTTGGAGGTCGCAAGGTAATGGAAGGTTCTCCCCAGTCTCCTGTCTGAAAATCACATTTATTCTAGAGGTAATATGAGCAGTCAGCAAAGCTCATTCCCTACAGCTAGCCTGAGTTCATCTTATACATGTGTGCTGGAATGGGCAAATGCATTTGGGTGTATTATATGTGTAGAAATACTTTTACTATTTATTACGGTTTTACATATGTGGTAGCATCATATTTCCCAAAGCTGAGTTAATTTCTGGGGCGTGAAAGAAGTTATTCCATTTTTAGAAGGACACCCTAAGCTAAGTGATTTTAAAATAAAACATGGAGATATTCATAAATGATGCACTAATTCATGATTTTCTGTTACAACAGAAAAAGAACATACGACCTTTGAAAGACTTTTCTGTTTTTAAGCTTGGTTATTTGAACTTTTTAGTCTGAATTGCTTTTACATTCAGAATACACAGTTCCATGAATTTCAGTTTCCAAATATGACATGTACCATGTACTCGGGATGATTTTAGATCTCTGGAGAAAAGACAGTGTAAGTGTGGTTCTAAACAAAATTTTTGAAGAAAAATTTACGAATGGATGGCTAGTTTCCCTCATCTGAATTCACTTGTATTGATAAAATGCCACCGTGACAGTCTTGGATGTACTCAGCTACCTTTCTCAGGAAACCTTAAGCACAAATGAATAATAAACATTTAAATGCCAAGTTTGGTCATACGTGCAATATGCATGTACTTGAGGATCTTAATTCACAAATACAAGCACATGCACATATGATGGCGTATCATTTAATGCATACACCCACTAAGACAGACCTAAGACAGAAGGACATCCCATCCTTCCACCTATCATTTTCCATGAGGTTAGCCTCGACTAGTTTTATTACTATAATGGCTTAGTGTGGGCATCTATAAAGTCAAAGGCCGGTGTTGGCAGGTCTTTTCTGGGTTCTGGTCTGATTTAGATATTATATATGGGTGATTTCTCACTTTTTTCCCTGGAAAAGATTCTAATTTCTTGAAATTCAGTTCTTTGTTCTCAAATGGACATTAACAAAAACTAGACAACAGGCAGATTTCCAAAGCCACTCTCTTTTTATCTGGATTCGGCTGCTCTTGTAGAACTAACGAATTACCTTTCTCAGGAGTTGGAAGAATGTAAGTAAGTCTCATGAGCTCCCAAACCAAGTAAAACCTTGGTCAGAGACCAAGTTCTACAGAAGTACTAGCAAATGGGTTGATACTGTAGGGTTTCTTAAGGAGGATTTTCAAGGAATCTAGGATAAGAAAGCAAAATTTTGGATGTAGGTGTATGTTTTGGGGGAGAAAAAAGTCTACAGCTTTCATTAAATTCTTTGAAAGGATCAGAAACTCCAACAGCTTAAAAACTGCAAGTCTCCAGGAAGAACTTCAACAGGACGTGTGTTCTGGGGTAGAGGACTGGCATTCCAATTTTCTCTGTGCAGTCTGGACTTACGTTAGGTGGCACATGCTGCGGCTGCTAACGCTGGGAAGTGGTAGGCATAGGCTTTGCTTTCTGAAGTTTCTGTCTTTGAAAAACTAGAGGAAAACTCTAGAGCCCCTCAGGACTGCCCGGGCCTTTTCACCGAGGCAGAGAACCTGAAGCTCTTCTCCTCGAGATGAGTCACTCCCAGACTCAGGTAGCGCAGTTAGTATCTTGCGAGCTCATTGGCTTCTCACTGGAGCACATGACCTACCAGAGTCCCTCGAGCACCTCACGCCCTAGTCTAAGCCATTCTCTGTGTTAGTTTTGTTCTAGTTGCTAATTTACTTGCATATGGCTTGGTTCTCTTATCTCCTGTCTGTTGAAACTGGTAAGACTTTACCTGGAATAATTACTTTAGCATTTTTGTCTTATGACCCATCCCTGACTCATTCTTGAGTTTTCTCTTTATAACTTCCATTTTGTAAAAAAAAAAAAAAAAGTGGCTGCAATTAATTTTAGGAGAAAGTTTTCCTCTGGCTGCCTATTAGGATCTTTTCTTTTCCCTCTCTTTCAAACATCTGGTCTGTATCATCTCTCAGTCTTTAATTCAACTGGCTGTGATTTGCTCTTAAAAAAAAAACTAGTATGAAATTGAAAATGTAGAAAATGTGGATTTCAGTACTATTTTGAAGCTGAATGTAATTTAAGCTGAATGTAATTTAAGTGATAATGCCTATAGTTAAAACTCTGAAAACATGCAGCTAGGAGTTCTTAATTAAAAAGCTCTCCCCAAATCCAGCAAATCCTCTAGTCCGCCCCATTCACCTTCTTCCCCTCCCTCGATAAAGCAACAACAACACAGCAAACAGGTGTTGTACATTTAAGTCACGGGTGACACTGTTAACAGGACAACAGAAGTTTGCACGCAACTCCGTGGGATGATACAAAAGGAGGAGTTGTTTGACGTTAAAAGACCTTTCGATCCAGTGTTTGCTGAGGTGACAACTGAGACCAAGCGTCAGAGCTTTGCGTTAGCCCTGTCTTAGTTTAGCTGAGGTATCCCTGGTCCGAGCTCAACAGGCAGCTCTCACAGCAGCCTGAACAGACATGGCAGGAGCTGGGGGCACCCTGGGTTGCGGTGCAAAGGCTGGGGGTAGGGCTGAGGGTGGGGGGCATGAGTGGGGTGAAGCTGGGGTTACGGGAACATTTCAGGTGTCAGTACATTAAGCATGCAAATCATATGCAAACTCATTCCCTAATTGTTGAATTAACTCAGGCACTTTTGTAATTAAACTTCAATGTGAGTTCCATACATGTAAAGCAGAACTACAGCCAAATGCTGATCCAAATATTCACATCATCCCCATAAGTTGTAGCAGCCATTTTGGGAAGAACAAGCCCCAGCACATACCACCTCAGTCTGGAAATCATCCCGACCTCTTATTTGATAACCACTTGAAGAAACGCTTGGCACATCCATTTAACTTAGTTTAGGCAGCGCCATCATCTGCTCTTCTAGGACTCCACTCTGTCCAGAAATCACACACCTCCTGCTTTGAATTCAGTGATTGGACTGGGCCTCCCCTACGCGCTAGGGGGGGAGGGGAGGAAAGTACAGGGAAGAGAAGTACAATTCTTCCTTGATGTTCTTTGTGGCCTTGAAACATGGTTCCGGTCCAAATATTTTTAAATTCTCTAGATAGGGACTGAATCTATCTTTCTGGAAATAGGAACTGAGTTTTGTCATATTTAGGGCCTATTTCCAGACGTTCATTTTCAAAGGAGGGAAAAGTGTTCTTAAGATTGAAGTTATAAAAAAATAAATTTATTTGCTTCCTAGAAATTCATCAGCTTATTCTTAATGTGTTTAACTTTAGACCAAAGAATATTTATAAGACTCCACCTGCAGGTGTTGAGTCTTCTCTCTGGAGTTAGTTTTATGAGAACGGACAGATTTGGTGACACCCTACTGCCAGGGGGAGGTATGGCCTGGGCCTTAGTGTGGGTTATAGCTTCAACTGGTCCACCGACAGTAAAAACAAGAGTTGAGAGAATAAGGGTGCCTTAGGGCTCACCCGTCCTGGAGGCTGGACCGCAGCAGGAAGGAACTATGGAGGAAGTGGGTAGGGCAGTACACTGTAGGGACCGGTGAGAGAAACCAAAAGGTAAACTGGGGTTTCTACCTTAGCTATAAAATAATTCCAAACTGGGAGGCCCATCGTTAGGTCTTGTAAAATAGTACACTCATATCGAGATGGTACCTGTATTTCCTCAGGCAAATTAATAAAATTAGTTCTCCAGGTAAATTAATAAAGTTAATAATTTCCCAGTTTAAAAAAATTTTGTTAAATATGAAAAAAATCAAACAGACCTAAAAAGTCTTTTGCCTCAAAGAATGGTTTATAGTCAGACCTCATCCTTAACAAACAGTAGATCTAAACATAGGTAACAGTGATGCAATTATATTTAAATAGAATAACAAAACAGGAAAAGGTTGGGGTAAAATTCTGTCTATTTTAAACTATTACTGACTGGCAGTACTCTTTAAAATGCTTAAGTAATTATAGAAGAGAAATTCAATGATTCAAGGCACTCTTACTAAATGTCTTCAGGCTACTTTTTTAGAGCATTTAAAATACTTAAACATTTTCTTTATGTTCATGTATTGAATGATTTTAATATTCCAAGAATTTGGCCATGGCTTAAAACCTCATTTACATGGTATGTATGTATGTATTTCCTTTAGGATATTATCAATGTAACAAAGGAAAAAGGACATCATTAAGTATCCTTTCCAGCTCAAATAAAAATTAAACTTTGAATATAAACAAAAAATATAATTTGAGATTAGAGCTTTAAATGGAAAATTGATTCTGTTGAACAGGTATTTACCAACTGCCAACTCGGCATGCACAGTGTGGCCAAGTGTGAAGGGCTACGGTGGGGCCATACTTAATATGATGTAATTAAATCAAATGTCTTTTATCCCACCAGCTGAGAAGTATAAAACCACTAACTGAATTTAGTTATAGCCCAGGAAAAAATTCACAAAAGTCTACAGGTAAGTTTTTACTGGATGGCAGAGTCTAAAATGCAGCTTTTAAACTTTGCTTTATTCCAAAAGGTGCTAAAGCTGCATGACTTTTCGTTCATATGCACCAGATACATAAGGCAAATGCAAAAACATCGTATCACAGAGTTCTCTCCTCCAAACATGGAAACTGAAGATACTACATATTCTCTATGCTCTGTGCGTATGAAGGGAACATCATCTATATCCTTATTTTCTTCTTGAGAAAAACATTTCCTAAGGATGTCAGTAAATAATTAAAAGCCAGGATTATGACTTAGCTTCCTAACATGAACAGAAAGGTACGGTATTTTCCAAGCCTTGTATTATTCTTTTTAAATTTTTTTAAAATTAGGATTTAATTGATTTTTTTAAATAGCAGCTTTTAAATCTTTTCTACTAGGAACTGTTTCCACCTACCTGCTTATAAATTTAGATCTGAATATTAACAAACATTATTCTCTATTTCTTCAGAACACTTAATGGAAAGCGAAAATGATTTTAAATGACGATTGTTAGGTTAAGG